CCGTCGTTCGTCCACATTCAGTTAAATATTCAAGTTATAAAATGTGTTTGGTAACAAAATACATAAATAAAATCATTATGAAGTAATTTTGTTGTTGAATTAGTGTTTTATCTAAGTCCTAAAGGCTCAGGGGGGGGGTCATGACCTCCGTGACCCCCCCCCCCTGGATCCGCCACTGTAAACCAGAGATAATGTTTATCCATTATTTTATTAGATGTGCGCTTGCTGTCAATGTAACGTACAACGACGTAACTAGCGGCGCAATGAACCGTTTCCTTTCCCGTTTCTCTCTCGTTAACGAGACAACATAAACCATTTTGTCGAAACTGATTTTAAATTTAAAAACCAACTGCTTAACTGGTTGTCCAACGAAATAAAAATTCTTTATTTTAGTATTTTTTATGAACTTATCTTTTATAGGTTGAGATTTATGTTAATAATTCTTTCCACATATATAATTATTTATAGTAAAAAATATTTATTTATTTAACTATCAGCTAGCTTTATATTTATCGAAATTACCTTCAATAATTATAACATGACATGATGAATATTACTTATATTGAAATTTAACAATTACAAAATTAATAAAATAAACAATATATCGATAAACACTTTGGAATGGTGTTTAGGATAACTATAATAAAACTGTTTGTTTGAGATATCAATTGAATATATCCTATACATTTTTTTTAAAGAAAACCTTCAATGCTAAATTATGTAGATCGCCGGGATTACTTGGAAAATCTTATATCTGGCCCCATTGAGAATTACTAGTATTATAATCTATTATTATCTTATATTTATATTTATATTTATATTTATATTTATATTTATATTTATATTTATATTTATATTTATATTTATATTTATATTTATATTTATATTTATATTTATATTTATATTTATATTTATATTTATATTTATATTTATATTTATATTTATATTTATATTTATATTTATATTATTGTTAGGTAAAATATAACAAAACCTTTCAGAATGACTATAATAAAACTGTTTGAGATATCAATTGAATATTTCCTAAACACATTTTTTTAAAGAAAACCTTCAATGCTAAATTATGCAGATGGCCGGGCGTACGCTCATTGGAAAATCCTATAATCCCAAATGCGGATACACATTTGTCTTTTGTTAGCATTTTGGTAATTGTTAAATACATCATAAAATTCATCTTGCGTTTTTTTTTTTTGTAACAATATTTTCCTTCGTGGAATTATCAATTTTTGTTGTTATGATTACTTTTATAAATAAAGGGTTGAAAAGACTTCAGGAAATGATATAATTTTTGTAAATTTTTATGTACAAACAAATACTTGTCTTGGCCTTGTATATAAACCGCCCCTTAACCACTTAACGGTTGGGTTTTTTTTCGTGAAAAGTGATCTAAAAGAGCAGGTTTTTTTTATTGCGGATTTTAAAAGTTTAATTGATGTAATATGTGTTTCTGATAACATTTTTTTTATTTAATTTATTTTTGTTTAAAATTAAAAATATATATTATAATACTGATGACCGCTTTGATAGTTTTTTGTTATAAAATGCAATGTACATACTTTTATATACTGAAATATATAGTCTTTGAATTGAATTGAATTGGACTACCTTTATTGTCTGTGTATAAACTATTGTGTTATAATATGATAAATAATACGAAATTTTTATTTAATAACTTTTAAGTTTTAATAATATCTATTTATCTAAAAATAATATAACAAATTTGTAAACAAATAAGAAAATTCAACAATATGTAATTATTAGAGCAAATATACGTGTAAAAACTCTAAAAGTTAAAAACAAAATAGATGGATTCTTGCCTAATTAGAGATAAAACACTCCAAAGTAATCTTCAATTGATTCCTATCAAAAATAACACAAACATATAACAATAACATGTCCCTTGATGGATATTCAGAAAGGCGGTTTTCACATGTTTATTTCTCATCTCAAAAGTCGTTAAAGATTGATTTATTATATATACAATTATTAATTGATCTGTACTTATCATATCTAAACTAAACATATCCCAACAACGGGCTATCGTAAGCCTTTTATCGCATAAAACATAAACATTAACTTTGGCGAACAGCGTCAGTATAAGTTTGGAGATATATGAAGCAAAATCAGTTTGGAAGTGTTTAATGATTTGTCTTTTTTATCTACATTTTGAAATTTATATATTGTATTTTTATATATATTACGCAGAGTGTTACTAGTGTTTCGGTATAAGTTAAATAAGTTGAATGTTGTTATAAGTTAAAAAGTTAAACTTTGTTATAAGTTGAATTAGTTTAATTTTGTTATAAGTTGAATAAGTTAATAGTGTGAGTTCAAATAGTTAAGAAAATGCATAGTTCTAGTAGTTATAATGTGTCAGATGTTGACAAATCCCCCGCAAGGAAGAGGAAAGTAGTGAGATACGAGCAAAAATTTATTGACTCTTGGCTCACTGACAAAAACTTTAGTGGATGGCTTACAAAAAGTAAAAATGGGAACACATATTTTTACTGCTCTGCATGACTGTGATCGTAAATGCGGAATTCAAGAATTAACGCGACACAAAAATTCATCAAAACATCTAGAAAACTGTAAAAAAATACAAAAGCAACCGAAGCTTACGTCTTTACGTCTTTGCATCATCATCAAAATCAATGGAACCAAAGCAAATGGCAAAAACCGGCGAAATTAAAGTAGCATGTTTTATTGCAGAACACAATCTTGGATTTAATGTTGCCTCACATCTGACAAATTTAGTAAAATCGGTGTGTCCGGATTCAAAAATTGTAGAACATTTGTCTATGAGCCGAACAAAAGCAAGATCTGTCATAGTAAATGTGACAGAAAAAACCTCTGAAGAAAAATTAAGAGAAAATGAATTTGCATTGCTGGTTGATGAGAGCACTGATAAGTCGGCCATCAAGCATTTGGCTTTAATAACCAGGATAGTCAATGCAAATTATGAAGTAGAAGATAAATTTCTAACTTTGATTGCAATCACCGACGGATCAGCAAAAGCTTTGCATACAAAAATTGTTGAATATTTTGAGGAGAAAGAAATTCCATATAAAAAAAATTTATTAGGATTTGCGTCTGATGGTGCTAATTTCATGTTTGGGGCGAATAACTCATTGGTCACTTATTTGAAGAATGATATTCCAAATCTTTTCACAATGAAGTGTATATGCCATTCATTTGCGCTTTGTGCATCCCACGCATGTGAAAAATTACCGAGAGGTCTTGAAGATTTTTGCCGTGAAGTTTTCAACCATATTCAAAATTCTCCTAAACGTATTGGTGATTTTAAAACTTTTCAGGCATTTACAAATATTAAACCGCATAAAATATTACACCCTGCACAAACCACATGGTTATCGTTAAACGATGTTGTGAAGCGATTGTTGGAACAACTTCCAGCGATAAAATTATATTTTCAATCTGCTGTCTCTTTACGGATCGTCTTCTTTCTGCACAAAGTATATTGACAAAAGCCAAGGAACCGACAACAGAATTATATTTGGAATTCCTGCGATTTTCTCTGCCAATATTCGTGAATTTGAATAAAGAAATGCAGGCAAAAAAGCCAAAATTGTACATTTTATGTGATCAGATATTTACAGCATATGCGACAATTTTAGAATGCTTTATTCAACCGAAATATTTGGAATGTTCAAAAGAAGAATTGAATACGGTAAAAAATATTACAAATGCCAAACAACAAAAAGTATTGAATGTGGATATAAACGATTTGCGAATGCATTTACCTTTATTAGAAATTTATGTTGGAGGAATGATTCCAAATATAATTCGGGTGAAAAGGGAGTCTGAAGGATTGGACAATGATCAATTGCTGAATTTTTACACAAAATGTAAGGAGTTTTATATTGAGGCAGCAATCCAAATAAAGCAGAGATTTCCTTTCCACGATAAAGAACGGCAAGCACTAAAATGTTTGCAGATGTTAAATCCACAAGTGATTTTAAATACTGATTTGAGACAAAACTTTACATCAATTTCGGAAATGTTATATTATTTTCCAAATATTTGCCCAAATAATATAACAGAAGTAGATAGAGAATGGAGGACTCTTAGAAATACGAATTTTGATTTTGATGAGACTGAGACGCCCAGTAAGGAGCAATTTTGGAGACATGTATCAAAATTAAAACAAGGCGATGGATCAGAGACGTTTCCATTATTATCAATTTTAACAAGAAAACTTCTGTGTTTGCCGCACAGTACCGCAACGGTGGAACGCTTGTTTTCAAGCATAAATATAATGAAAACAAAGCTAAGAAATAAGTTATCAACTACGACTCTTAAAGGCACTTTACACACAAAGTCAGAAATTGAAAATTGTTATGAATTTAGTGTGAAAAGCGATCACTTAAGTAAGTTTAATCAGAAGATGTATGAATTCCAAAATAAAGATGAAGCGGAACACCAAGAAGACATTGACATTGAAAATGAGATGTCGGAAAGTTAAAAATGAATCCTACAAGAATATTATTTTTCTAAAGTTTTACCATTTCTAATTTTATATCAATTAATATAACCTTATGACTCTTTATACTCTTATATATTCAATGTTATGAAAATGCATATTGTAACATTACTAATTATTGATAAGTAGTATTTGTGGGAGTTGTGATGATTATAATAATATATTACATTATAAACTCCCAACATAAAAAATATATCAAATTTATTGACTATAAAAATATTACGATATAAAAATTATACATGACAAGTACGATTGTTTTTTTACAATCCTCTCATAGCCTGCTTGATTTCCCCACATATTAATCATCCCATAATATCTTATAAACTTATAAATAACCTTATAATCCCATAATCATAGAAATTACAATATTTTCGCATTGCAATATGGTTGTGAGTAATGCTTAGGTACATACAAACACGGATAGAAAAAGAGGTGACGTGTCCCGATAGAGACAGAACAGGTACACAGATAAGGACGCGTCATGCGAGAGCAGGTACGCAACACAGCCCTCAAGACAACTTCCCTCACCCTACGCGCTAGAGTCGAAGACGCAAGACAACACAAGATATAGTGCCGTGGGAGTGAGTGAGATAGAACGACTACCACCCTGGAAAGGAATGAAGCTAGAATAAGACGGCACTACGATGTAAGAAGGACACACCAACTTTCGGACACAGGATTGGCTCGCTTACACCCCCGTAAGAATTTTGCAAAAGCGACCCTAGTATAAATTGGCTTGCAAAAGCAAAAAAACGTTGTAATTGATAGCTGACTTAAAAGCCTCAAGTACCATTAAATGTTCGACGCGACTCACGCACAACAGTTCCAGGAGATTTACACTGTTCGACGCGATTCACGCACAACAGTCTCAAGAAGATTAACTGTTCGACACGATTCACACACAACAGTTCCAGGAGTTTTACACTGTTCGACGCGACTCACGCACAACAGTCCCAAGAAGATTAACTGTTCGACGCGACTCACGCACAACAGTTCCAGGAGTTTTACACTGTTCTACGCGATTCACGCACAACAGTTCCAAGAAGATTAAAACTGTTCGACGCGACTCAGGCACAACAGTTTCAGGAGATCTACAACGGTTGACGCGCCCAACGCATAACAAGCAAGCCAGGAGAGGATTAAAACTGTTCGACGCGATTCACGCACAACAGTTCGACGGTATTCGACGAGATTCAGAACTTCCCGCTACTACCAGAGGCCGAATCAAATATATTAGTGTTGCGAATATTTTGTATCTAACCTATTCTTGAACCCTATAAATTAATAAATTTAAGAACAGTTGCCTTACAGCTTTTGTTTTAATTATTTTCACCGACCAAACATCGTGAGGTCACAATATTTATTTATATTATCATATATCTTTTTGACTGTTAATACTCTTATACAATTATGCTTATTTATATATGTTAAGAAAATGCATAATTATTTATTTTATATTATGTTAATATTTACTAAAACTATGCTAATAACATGATTCTGCTAGTTTTTAATTACATTCTCAAAAATATTATATTCATTACCATCATTTAATAAAAAAAATATAAAACTGTAGATCTACAGTTTTTCAATATGACATTTGCAGTTTTCTACAGTTTTTTTCTGGCGTATCTACAGTTTTTCTCTATGGCGGACCTGGCAACACTGCACATCTGGCAGGTTCAGTTTCGTGGGCGTGACCTATCGGCGAAGGCGTGGCCACGCCCACCTATTTTTTTTTATGAAAATGATTAAAATATAATAATTTATTCAATTAAATTTCATTTATTTTGCATTATCTTTGTTTGACATAAAAATCTTTAACCTACAATCAAGTATTTTTACATATGTCATAGTACATTGATACCAACCGACATGATCTGCCGTGTCAAAATATGTTCGAAGATATGTTGAAATAGTGTCGAGGGTCTGCCAGTGTTTATTTGGCACATTTTTTACATTTATCTTATTAATAAGTGAATTAGTGATGAATATTAATAACTAACTATGAATATAAAGTAATAATGTTGTGTTTTACATTAGTTCTACAAAGTGAAAGTTGTGATTTTTGTTTCATAAATTAGTGGCGGGTCTGCCAGAATTTATTTGGCAAATTTTTTACATTTATCTGATCAATAACTGAATTAGTGATGAATATTAATAAATAACTATGAATATAAAGTAATAATGTTGTGTTTTATATTAGTTCGACAGTGTTTTCAGCCTACTTTTTGCAATTGTTAACAATCGTTTTTGAGGTTATGTTAGTGGCGGGTCTGCCAGAATTTATTTGGCAATTTTTTTACATTTATCTTATCAATAACTGAATTAGTGATGAATATTAATAAATAACTATGAATATAAAGTAATAATGTTGTGTTTTATATCAGTTCTACATAGTGAAAGTTGTGTTTTTTGTTTCATAAATTAGTGGCGGGTCTGCCAGAATTTATTTGGCAAATTTTTTACATTTATCTTATCAAATAAATAACTTACGTGGACACACACACACGCACGCAAAGAGAATAATTTCTTATACGAATGATTGTTAAACGGTTTTAAAATTCGCGCGTGAATAATATTATCTTCCGTAGTTTTTTTTTCGTATTTTTGTTTATAGAAGAAAATATCATACGATTTTTGGGTACAATTTCTCGACCGGATTTTGGAGATTCCTCCAAACCTCCAATATCATTAAAAGAAATTTACATATATAGACAAAATGGAGAACTGATTAAATTTGTGGGAGGCAGGTCTAGCGATTTCGGTAATCCAACAAAAAAATTTGATTAAATAATAAAAAATTAAATTAATTGGATTTAATATAAGTATATGCATATAACCATAAATACTTTTGGTTATAATAAAAATTTTCGTCCACGTTTTATAATATATAATATATTAGATATTTGTTGGAAATTATGCTGATTTGTTTTATATTACGGTCTTACAACAAGTAGATTAATTTTAAAAATTCATCAAATTTTGAGAAAATTAGTGTTTTTTTTTTGACGTTTGTTAAAATTAAAATTAAACGATTGGTTTGGTATAGCGACCTGGTCTTAATGAACATACTTTACGATTATAGTACTAAGAAAACTGATGGTTCAATTATAAACATTAATGATTTTTGAAAATTTCATTTTAGAAAATACTCCGTAATTGTTGATTGATTTGAACCAAAAGTATTCAAAATTTAAACATTATTATTATTAAAGTAAAGTTTCGGAATCGTATTTAGAACGAAACCGTTCTTTTTAAAACCAAATCTTTCGAAATTGATCCTTTTTCCTAGGTTTTTCCAAGATATCGAACAATCGCACAGCTTCTTAAACGGTATGAAAATTGTCGCGTGAATAATAATATTTTTCGTTGATTGCTGTATTTTTCTTTATAGAAGAAATTAATTGAATTTAATATAAGTAAGTGCTGATAACCATAAATAGTTTTGGTTATAATAAAAATTTTCGTCCACGTTTTAATATATTATATATTAGATATTTGTTGGAAATGATACTGATTAGTTTTATATTACGGTCTTACAACAAGTAGATTAATTTTAAAAATTCATCAAATTTTGAGAAAATGAGCGGTTTAAACATTAATGATTTTTGAAAATTTCATTTTAGAGAATACTCCGTAATTCTTGATTGATTTGAACCAAAAGTAATCAAAATTTAAACATTATTATTATTTTTCTCCCGCGTTTTGGAGATTCGGGACAAGAAGTGCTCAACCTCACAGTTGTCTTTGTTTTCACTCGCAGTAATTTTTTTTTCAATATGGAAGGCAATTGAGACATGTTTGCTTTTAACGCGTCATAATTTGCTCATTCGGAATATTCGGCTATGTATAATATGTGTTTGATTGTTGATTGATTTGAACCAAAAGTATTAAAAAATTTAAACATTATTATTATTACAGTAAAGTTTCGGAATCGTATTTAAAACAAAATCTTTCCATCGAAACATTTATTTTGGAAAATCATCGAAAATGTCCCCAAAAACAAAATTACACCTTTTATATTCTTATAATATCTACCCCAACATCTGCAGTATTAAATTCATAGCCTAACAATAAGCGATTATAATTGTATTAATTGATCCTTTTTCAGGCCAAACTTTTGAGGTTTTTACAGGATTATCGGACAATCGCACAGCTTCTTAAACGGTATGAAAATTGTCGCGTGAATAATAATCTTTTTCGTTGATTGCTGTTTTTTTCTTTATAGAAGAAATTAATTGAATTTAATATAATTAAGTGCTGATAACCATAAATAGTTTTGGTTATAATAAAAATTTCCGTCCACGTTTTAAAATATGTTATATATTAGATATTTGTTGGAAATGATGCTTATTAGTTTTATATTACGGTCTTACAACAAGTAGATTAATTTTAAAAATTCATCAAATTTTGAGAAAATGAGCGGGCTTTTTAACGTTTGTTAAAATTAAAATTAAACGATTGGGTTGATTTAGCGACCTGTTCTTAATTAACATACTCTACGATTATAGTACTAAAAAAACTGATGGTTCAATTCACAAACTGTTCGAAAGATATTTGTTGGAAATGATACTGATTAGTTTTAAATTACTGTGATTAATGCAATCAAATAATTTTCTTCAAGCGACTTGATTTTTGTTCAAGTTTATAATCTTTAATTTAATTGTTCTTAGGCATCCATCCAGTAATTAAAAACAGTTTTATTGAAAGAAAATGTTTTTATTAAGAGAACATACGTTTCGGGTCTTGATTTGACCCATCTTTAGTGCTACAACTCACCATACAAATAAATTTGAAAATAAAAAACGAAACAAAAAAATGAAACAATGTATGTTCTCTTAATAAAAACATTTTCTGTCAATAAAACTGTTTTTAATTACTGGATGAATGCCATAGAATAATTTTATAATATATATATATATATATATATATATATATATATATATATATATATTGATATTTTATATAGATATATATATTGATTGTTTCTTTTCCGAACAGTAAATCCAATAATAAAAAACAATTTGTTTTTTCAAGATGTTTAATACGACGTTTCGGAACTAGGTACGTTCCATCATCAGGTTTATTCTGTCAAATACAATGTTTTTTTAAAAATATTGATTAACATTAATTAATGATGGTCAATACAGATTAATTAGAAAAATTTTTTATAAAGGAATGGATTATGTACCGGGGTAAAGAATAATAAGAATTAACTAAAAAAGATTTTAAATAAAATTGAGAAGCAAAAATTATTTACCTGTAATAATTTATATATCCATATCACTAATATTTTTTTTTTTTTGTTAAAAGCACTCGATTTTTTTGGAAGATATTTGTAGATGTTACGACTACACAAGACTTAAACACACTGATATGGAGTTCTGCCGGCCAGATGTAAAGGACAATGTACGGAATTCTGGCAAAAATGATTTTTTATGGCTCTTGTATTGGTAATTTACGAAAAAAGAGGAAATATTGCTTTAGTGAATGTTGAGAAATATTATGTATATAAATAAATATATATATATATATATATATATATATATATACATATATATATACATGCACATGCATATGCACACCTACATACTCATATATACTGAAATGTGACGGCGTGGTTGTTGACTTGGTTGCTTCTGGGTCCTTCTAGCTATGTAGGGGTAATCCTAGCAACCCAAGATCAACTCGTCCACAGATATATGATAAGCGGGGTACTGGTTTGATAAGTCTCCTCGGAACGGGGGTGGTTTCCTAGAGGTATTAGCTGGAAGACTTGGTGTTAATAAAATACAAGCTCTTCCGAAAATATAACCACTTTATTGAACAACACTAACAATATGACATTCACTGTCTAATAAACTAGAGTCACTTACAGTGTCTAGGATTTTACTAACTTTTACAAGAATTATTCGACTATTATATACTATAATATCTGGGTCATTAATAATAAAACAAGGTGTTTTTGTAATGTACTGTTTATGGACTAAATAAATTTTATAACAAACTTACTGTTGCTGTCGCAATTGAAACAATTTTTGTTTACAATTGCGCAGGACAGTTGAATACATATGTACATTGTACATATCTATATATTAATGTATCCACAATTATATACATGAACATCAGTGGCGTACCTAGAACATTTGCCGCCCAGGGCGATCTCCAGATTGCCGCCCTTTCTATTACAAATAGTGTTTTTTTTTTAATTAATATAAATAAACTAGTCGCGCATGGCATCGTGCATTAAGGCAAATTGCTGGAACTTCCCGTACCGAAACATAAATTTTTTAAAAAAGGTTAAAATTTTTTTGAAAACTTTGAAAAAAAGAATTTTAAAAATTTTGGAAAAAATTGACTTTTTTGAAAAATCTGTTTTTTTTATATTTTGAAATTTTTTGAAAATTTGTAATTTTTTTTTCAAATCAATCGCGCTGCGTAGCTGTTTTGGAGACAAAATATCGAAGCGCGTAAGCGTCGCGTTGCAGTCTAACGGATAGACATTGATACGAAACCCATAGAAATGCAAATTAAATTTATTCTTATTATTAAAATCTCTATCAGATAATTTGACGTGCATATCTAAAATACCTTATGATCATTTTGGACCGCCAAATGTCTTTTTATTTTTTCTTATTGAATCTCTGTAACTACTAGACCTGTCTTCCCAAAAACAGTTCTTCGTTTAGGTAATACAATGAATTGAATTGAATTATTTAAATCGGACGCTTCGTTTTCTCAAAAACTAAATTACAAATTTTGGCTTTTTTGTTCATTATCTTTGAAACAGCTGGACCTGCCTTTATCAAAAACTAATTAGCACGTCTTATCAGCACGAATAGAATGTTTTGTTCAAATCGGTTGATGCGTGTTCCTACAATTATCGACGAAAGTTTGTATCTAAAAACATCCATTTTTTCTAAGGTATGCCAAAATTCAGAAACTTTTGAAACGTAAAGATATATAAAAATTTCCACCTTCGATTTTTTTGCGATTACTATAGTCTATAACTTACCCTGCGGAAAGTTAATAAATTATTAACCCTTTCGACTCGAATTTTACCGTTGCGCTCGGATGCCGCCACTCCGGCGGCATGATATGTTTTACCGTTAAGCTCGGATGCCGCCGCTCCGGCGGCAAATCGTGTCGGCGACGACTCGTCGCAAACTAAACTTACATTTAATTTTTTTTATTTTTTAAAAATTAATTTACTATTACATTCATTTATTGATTGATTTATTAATTTTATAAATAAATATATAACAAAATTAATTTATTAGCTCATGATCACCATAATTCTAATAAAGATCTGTGAAGAAATGATTTTTGAAACAATATAGCATGGTTTTGAGTGCAATTTTTTTTAATTTTCAAAATTTTCTATTTTATTATCATAATAACTATATTTAAAAGCAATATAACCACATTTTGAAAAAAATCCGATACAAAAAAAAAATTCCGAGTTGAGAGAAAAGTATAGCACTATAATATTCCGAGCGCAGCGTACCGACTGGCAGTCCGACTCCCGAGTCGAAAGTGTTAAGTTATTTAATCAATATTAATTAATACTCAGAGTAATTTTTTTATATGCACTCGTTAACATATTAATACTAGTGGAGCGCATGGCATCGTGCCTTAAGGCAAATTGCTGGAACTTCCCGTACCGTAATTAAAAATTCGAGGAAAGAAAATAATTATTAATTATTTTCTTAATAATTGTTTTGAATAATTTTAAATAGATTATTCATTACATACTGTGTAATAACTTTTAAGTGCTTTTTAAATTGAGCGTCGAGCGTATTTTTATGAACGAGTCCATTTTTTGGAATTTAAAAAAAACGTTTTTTCTAAATATTTTGAGAATTTGGAAATTTTTGAAAATATTCGATTTTTTTTTTAAATTTTCGAAATATTCTCAAATTTTTGTGAGATTTTTTTTTTTTTGAAAACGAGAAAAATTTTCAAAAATTGAACTTTTTTGAAAATTTCTATTTTTTTTTTTGAAAATTTACAAAATTATTAAATTTTTTGTAAATGCATTTTTTGCACACTGCCTACTCAAGCAAAATGTTTTTTGAATTAATATAATCGGATGATTCGTTCTCTCAAAAACTGCATAATCATTTTTACATTCCAAAACCGCAAAATTGCCTTTTGCAAAAACGCCTCGCAATCGAGTACGAACCGAATGATTTTTCAATTTTATAAATCGGTTATTCCATACAGTCGAAAACGTCGAAGACATTTGTCTAAACCATATAAATAAACTTCAAAATTAAAAATCTTGGTACGGAACCCAAAAAAGTTACACAATATTAAAATCTCTAAAATTTCTGATACTAAAATATCTGATAATTTGATGTACATTTGTCCAATAAACATTTTTGATCGCCAAATGACGCGTTTTTAACTTATTTTTATTGAGAGTCTATAACCGCTGGACCTGCCTTCCCAAAAATTTAATCAGTTCTTCATTTCGTCAATACAAGTAAAATGTTTTATGAATTATTAAAATCGCTCCGTTCTCTTAAAAACTGAGTTACCATTTTTGGCACTTTTCGGACCTGCCTTCGCCAAAAACTAATCAGCACGTCTCCTTATCAATACGAATCGAATGCTTTTTAAATTATTCAAATCGGATGCTTAGTTCTCTCAAAAACAGGTATTTTTGCACATTTTGCTAGGTATCTCCGAAACGGATTGGACCTGCCTTTGCCAAAAACTAATCAGCACCATTCATCTCCCTATTATTAGGCATCGAATGTTTTTTTAACCATTCGAATCGATGCATCCGTGCGCCCGAAAACGTGAACGAAAAAATGCGGACACACAAAACACACACATGCATTTTTGAGGTATGCGAAACCTTCAAAACGTGAAGAAATGCAAAAATTTTCATTTTCGGTTTTCGGCCAATTACTATAACTAGAAATGAATAAGTTGCTTTTTACAACTATAGGTAAATTAAAAAATGCCGCCCCAAAATAAGTGCCGCCCGGGGCGGACCGCCCCCACCGCCCCCCCCCTAGGTACGCCACTGATGAACATATATGCAAGTGCATGTATATAGTGTACACACAAAAACATACATATAAGCACATATATGGATGTGCACATATTATAACACACATACATGTATATATATACATATTCAAAAATTATTAGGATTAATTGTTTTTAATCAGGTTTAAAAAATTTAGATATGAGTCATGAATGATATTGTGATCTGATCTTTTATTAACACTATTTGACGAATTCAAAAAGATTAAACTGCTTTCAGAAAAAAGTCTTTTAAAAGTACAATCCTCTCTATATAAAATATTGGGTTCAAAGGTGAAATTATGTGAGTTTTCGATGGAATGCTGGACAAGAGTGCTTTGGAAATTTCGGCTTTTATGATGAGTGACGCTTAATTCATGTTGTCTCATTCCCTTATGAATGTATTGCGATGTTTGGCCAATGTATTGTTTTTGACAATTTTTTAATTTTGACAAAAATTAAATCCACCACCCCTCCTAAATTCAATACTAACATAGTTTATTCCATCCCTTGCAAAAATTGTCATTGTCAATTGTATTAAATATTATTAATTATTATTTTAGTCCGCAGACGATGCGGGTTGGAGCGGCGGCGTAGGAAACAGCCGCGGCGGTGCAGGCAACGGCCGCGGCGGTAATGGCGGCGACCGCGGCGGTAATGACAACAAACGCGGCGTTAACGGCGGCAACGGCGGCGGTAAAGGCCACAAACGCGGCGGTACGGGCAACGACCCCGGCGGCACGGGCAACAACAGCGGCGGTAGGGGCAACAACAGCGGCGGTACGGGCGACAACCCCGGCGGTACGGGCAACAACAGCGGCGGCACGGGCAACAACAGCGGCGGTAGGGGCAACAACAGCGGCGGTACGGGCAACAACCCCGGCGGTACGGCAACAACAGCGGCGGCACGGGCAACAACAGCGGCGGCACGGGCAACAACAGCGGCGGCACGGGCAACAACAGCGGCGGCACGGGCAACAACAGCGGCGGCACGGGCAACAACCGCGGCGGTACGGGCAACAACCGCGATGGTACAGGCAACAACGGCCGCGGTACGGGCAACAACGGCGGCGTTACAGGCAACAACGGCCGCGTAAACAAACGCGGCGGCCGCGAAAGCTACCGTGGTGGGCAGAAAAACCATCGCGGCGGCCAGGGCGCTTATAGAATGGAACAATAAAATTCCGATGGTTAATAATATACATGGATGTGTAATCTCTTAAAATTATAAATAATATATTATATATAAAAGCGTAAATTATATTTTTGTCTATTTGTATTTTTTTTTCCAGGGGTTATATATATTTTCAAAATGACTTTGTTTAGCATTCTTTCTATTCTTCTATGATAACTAATATATTATGTGTAATTTCAAGCGCACTATATATGCTGTATGCATTGTTGTGGATTTTCAAGCCTTTCCCTATATTCTCAGAAAAACCTGGGCAAAAGTCAAATCAAGTCTTATATAATTTGACACTCTTCAACCTACCATTTTATAACTTACTTACTTACTTATAGACTCACAACTAATTGATTTCATTATTTTCACATTTATTTTGCATTATTACTTTATATTCATAGTTATTTATTAATATTCATCACTAATTCAGTTATTGATGTAAAAAATTTGCCAAATAAATTCTGGCAGACCCGCCACTAATTTATGAAACAAAAAACACAACTTTTACTATGTCGAACTAATATAAAACACAACATTATTAATTTATATTCATAGTTATTTATTAATATTTATCACTAATTCAGTTATTGATAAGATAAATGTAAAAAAATTGCCAAATAAATTCTGGCAGACCCGCCACTAACATAACCTCAAGAAGGATTGTTAACAATTGCAAAAAGTAGCCTGAAAACGTTGTCGAACTAATATAAAACACAACAATATTACTTTATATTCATAGTTAGTTATTAATATTCATCACTAATTCACTTATTAATAAGATAAATGTAAACAAATTGCCAAATAAACACTGGCAGGCCCGCGACTAATTTATTAAAAAAAACAGAACTTTCACTATGTCGACCCAATATAAAACACAACATTATTACTTTATATTCATAGTTAGTATGTTTGCGCCAGAACCTGTTAGATGGCGCCACAGAATATTTTTAATATTCAGACAACACTTTTTATCTGGCAATCCGCAAAGATTTGGACGTAATAGCTAATCCAGCGATTTCCAACCTGTGGGGCGCGCCCCCCTGGTGGGGCGCGGTGCCGTCCCAGGGGGGGGCGCGAAGCTCTTTCAAAAATATGGTTGTTAAATGCTGAGTAAGTGTCAAAAACAAATCAGCAAAATGTATGCAAGTAATCTACAATTTTCGCTGCAATTTTGTCAGGACAAATGTAAAAGCATGAATATACTATACTTTTGGTGCATTCAAAATATTTCGTTTTTGCGTTTGTAGTTGTAGGCCTATAAACAGAAGATAAACACTCGGATCATATCGAATATTCACGTGCTTACTCGAGACTAACTTAAGTAAATAAACAAAAGCATCCTTTTTATTCTGTTATCTATAAATCGAATTAGTTCATTAGTTGTGCTGGAGATACACGCGTTGATATATAGAAAAAATCATTTCTAAATTATTATTGAGTTACAATTTATAGCTTTAGTTTTAGCACATTATTAGCCAGGAATTACTGTGAAAAGTAGTGAAAAAGTGATTTTCTTTGATTTGTTATAAAAACCGTTTGTAATGGATAAATACGTGACTGGGTTGAAAAGAAAATTTAATGAAGCAGAAGAAGAGGGTGGTGAAAATAATGGAAATGTTTCTTCACAAAATAGTAAAACTAAACATAGAAAATATGATCCAATGTACTTATCATTGGGATTTACATATAAGATCATTAATGGTCAAGAACGACCAATGTGTTTGCTGCGTATGAATACTTTGGCCTCAGATAGCATGGAACCAAGTAAATTAAAACGACATCTGGAAAAAGTGCACGCCGATCATGTTGGCAAAACAAAAGAATTTTTCCAAAGAAAATTAGATAACTTAAATAAACAGAAAGAATCGTTTTCAAAAGCTTTGTCTGTATCACAAAAAGCGTTACTTGCGTCATACAAAGTTTCGTATAGAATTGCTAAATGCAAAAAACCCCATTCAATAGGAGAAACTTTAGTAGTACCAGCAGCTATTGACATAATAGCTACGATGTTTGGTGAATCATATGCTGATCAAATTAAAAGCATTCCGCTGGCAGATAATACGGTGGGAAGACGGATATCAGATATATCTGATGATCTTTGCGATCAGTTGATAGAAAAAATTAAATTATCTTCTTTCGCGTTGCAAGTAGATGAGGCTACCGATGTTGCTAAGGATGCACACTTAATAACATATATAAGATATGTTATGGAAAATGATATTAGAGAAGAGTTGTTATTCTGTAAGGCAATTGAAGGCAAAGCTACGGCGAGTGAAATTTTTAATATGATTGATAACTTTTTTATTGAAAATGGTATTTTATGGGAGAACTGTGTTGGACTGTGCACGCATGGAGCTCCATCTATGGCAGGAAAAAATGCTGGTCTGCAGGCCCTAGTTCGAAAAGTGGCTCCTCGTGCAGTTTGGACGCATTGTATGATTCATAGGCAATCTCTTGTTGCAAGAAATATGGGTGAAGAATTACTTGAAGTATTTGAAATTATAATAAGTGTTGTTAATTTTATCAAAAATAGTCCATTAAGAGAAAGGCTTTTTGGAAAATTGTGTGATGACATGGGTTCAGAATACAAAGCACTACTTTATTATTGTGAAGCACGTTGGCTTTCTCGTGCTAAAGTACTTCAAACTTTGAAGTTCAAAGGGTGTTTGAGCTCAAAAAAGAAATTGCCATTTTTCTTGCTGATAATAAAAGAGATGAAGCAGACATATTTTATGACACGAAGTTTCTCGCAAAACTTGCGTATCTAGTTGACATTTTTAAAAGACTAAGTGATTTAAATAAATCAATGCAAGGAACTCAAATTCATGCTTTTGTTCAAAAGGACAAGATTACGGCGTTTATGAAAAAAATAGAGCTGTGGATAGCTAGTATGAAAAGTAATAACTTTGATATGTTTCCTTCTTTTAAAACTACATGTGTTAATGATGATGAAATAGAAGCAAGTAAAGATCTTATTATCAATCATATGACTAGTTTAAGGAACCAATTTGCGCATTACTTCAAAGATCTAGATATGTCCAAATACGAATGGATTAGAAATCCATTTGTTATTGATAAATATGATAATTTTGGACTTCCAACGGCAGAGCAGGAAATGATAATTGATTTATCTAGTGATAGCACATTGAAGCAGATGTTTCAGGACGAAAAGAATATTGTTAAGTTTTGGTTACAAGTAAAGGACGATTTTCCAACTTTGAAAAATAAAGCCTTAGAAATTTTATTACCATTTGTGACATCCTACTTATGTGAAACTGGTTTTTCTGCAGTAGCAGTATTAAAAACAAAGTACCGATCTCGTTTAGTGATAGAAAAGGAACTGAGAACAGCGATTTCTACAATGGAGCCGCGGTTTGAGAAAATTTGTGCTGAAAAACAAGCTCAACCGTCGCATTAATTTTTTAATATTGTGTGAAATATTATATCATTTGTTTTTATTAAATTTAAAATTATTTTTTTCCTATAATCCATAGTTATGTTTGTATGTATATTTTTGTATGTATATTTTTGTATGTATATTTTTGTATGCTTATTTTTGTATGTATGTATATTGTGCATTATTTGGTACGAGATTGAATAAATCATAATTTCAATTAAGTATATTTAAATTAAATTGTTAAAAAAATTAGGGGGGGGCGCAATATTTTTTTCTTTCAAAAGGGGGGCGCAAGGAAAAAAAGGTTGGAAACCGCTGAGCTAATCTGACGGGTGAACAAGAGCTCGCGCACTGGCTTGTCACGTAGGCCATTTTCATTTGTGAGTTTCCGTATGAGTTCTGTTAAATTTTCCGAGTGTTCGATGTAGTTTGTGTTAATAAATACGTTATTAATCTCATCCAGTGTTTCTTATTGTGCTTCTATAGTCAATCCTACCTCAGTATCCATTCCTTATAGCGATCTGAAAATTCCAGACTTGAAGACATTCTCCGACTGGGCCGCCGAACATCAGAACACACCGAGTGAATTTTCCTTAATATATTCAATTATATCAAATCCTCGGAATAGTTATTGAGTCAAATTCAATTAGCTATTCCGAAAGGGTCTAACTAACCCCCATCCGTAACATAGTTATTAATATTCATCACTAATTCACTTATTGATAAGATAAATGTAAAAAATTTGCAAAATAAACACTGGCAGGCTCTCGACACCATTTCAACATATCTTCGAACATATTTTGACACGGCAGATCATATCGGTTGGTATCAATGTACTATGACATATGTAAAAATACTTGATTGTAGGTTAAAGATTTTTATGTCAAACAAAGATAATGCAAAATAAATGAAATTTAATTGAATAAATTATTATATTTTAATCATTTTCATAAAAAAAATAGGTTTTAAATGGTGGCCACGCCTTCGCCGATAGACCATGCCCACGAAACTGAACCTGCCAGATGTGAGTCTGCCAACTATATACACGTCCGCTCGCGCACGAAACGCAAATGAAATAAGGAATAAGGATGACATGTTTGCGTTTAATTTCATATTTATACCGAATGAGGGTAGAAAACTATATTTGGTTAACGTGATTTTCTTCGAATAAATATCCGATTTGAATTGGTCCAATTTTATGCTAACCAGATACTAGTTTTGCTATCTTGGCGGAGGAAAATTTTATATTTTTGCCATAAAATCCGATCTGCTAATTTTATGTTTTCGTGACATTTGAAGTCATTTCGAACCGGATGGTTGACTGTATAAAATTTTTTTCTATATGCACCTATATCTCATATATAAAAATGGAGCTCTCTTTCAAAAGATGAGAAATTATTTCAAGATCACGTAGAAACATTACATTTTCAATTTGAAATTTTTTGTAGAAGCGTAAGTTGAATAAAACAATGGACGGTGGCTAATAAGTCAAATGTCAAACGTTTTTGATAGATGATGTTCTCTCACGTTTAATAGGATGTTTTACGTGAATATTATTTAATTATACTTAAATTGTAATAAGTTGTTTTGCTTGTAATTTTATTTATATACAAAAACGTTATTAAACGGATCGCAAGTGTTACTAGAAACTCAAAATATCAATTTTCTTGAAATGTTAATATGAAATTTTTTGCGTTGTAGCACTTGAATCATATTTTTCTAATTATATACTCATTGGTATTTGTAAAACATTTTCTAGGTTATATTATTTTTTATTTATCTTATTTCAATTCAGAATCAAAGGGACATTTTGTCGAATAACATTTTCCCAATTATAATTTCCCAGAATTTATCGAAAAAATAGTAATGTATGAAGGTCCGGGGTTAAAACGGTCCACCACCCATATGTCAAAAACCAGTGAAGTTAAGAATTGCTTAACAACAATATTTGAAAGTAGAGGGAAAAAGATGTATAACCAGCTATAACCTTGATTCTTATGACTTTGCTATCGAGAGATAAACGGTAATCTTTGAAAATCAATAATAAAAGTATTTTCTTTCGTTGGTAGTTTTTTAGCATTAGTTAAAAGTGTAATTAATTTGTAAAATACCTTTAAAATTAAAATAAGACATTAAACCTGTTTGCCACCTGGCCGTTCCATGTTACCCCGTCTATGAGGTAAAAAGGTCTAGATAACAAATTTTTGAAAGACATAACAAAGCACATTTCTACAATGATGAAGTAGCTGGCAGTTTTACTGAACGTAGTCAGATAAATTTTCGTTTGAAATGTGTTATTCGTTGTGATATAATTCGTTTGGTTTTCATAATATGGTTTATATTTGCTCAAAGTGAAATTGGACCTTTAATGAATGTTACTTGAAACTTTTCAAAAAGCAGGTCAAAGAAGAAATACTTTATTCATTTTCTATCTTTCCTCGCAAAAATTTGAAAATTTTGTATGAGCTCAGTAGTATTATTTACAATTATACACAAAATCCAGAATCCAAAAAGAATCTGAAAAACTTGAAACGTAATCAATAAGTCGAAAGAACAAAAAAGACTTGGATTGGATTATACAATGTTTTCTATAGAAAGTGTATAAAACTTCCAGTTTGATTGTATTGACAAAATATATACAAACTAATAGGGTTTTGTTGTTTTCATAATACCTCATTGTATATAGCATTGAAACGACACATCCTTATACACTTAAAGTATTAATATTTTTGATTCTCTAGAAATTGTTTAGAATATACAGGTCAGCTAGTATATATAAGTTTTGTATGTCCCCATGTATCTTTTATGTATCCATCTATCCTGTTGCGTTTCTGGTTTGTACCTAGATAAATAAATGAGAGCGCGGCCGTGCGCCCATAAACATTTTAATTACTCGGCCGCATTTTGCATTTTGTGCACCCGACTGTTCCCTGCGTTTCGCGAAACCGCGAATTTAGTTCGCCAATTTAATTTTACTGCCATTTGCAAAACGGCCGAAAAGATATATACGACAACGACAACGATACGGTTATAATAATAAAACTAGTGGGGTGGGTAGCATCGTGCCTTAAGGCAAATTGCTGGAACTTCCCGAACGTACCGTAACGAAATGTTCGAGGAATACTGAATGTTTTCAAATAGATTATTATAAATATTGTAACATTGTCTAATATTTATAAGAATTATATAAACTAAATTGCAAAGTTGAAATTATTTGTTTAAAGTATATTAGAACTATAGTCAGAATTAAAAATAAAATCTGAATTATTTTCGATATACATCCATACATACATACATACATATACTCGCACATCCATTTTATCTGAGGTATGCCAAAATGTTCAGAAACCTTCAAAACGTCGAGAAATGTAAAAATGTTCAATTTCGATTTTCGGCCCATTACAATAACTTACCCTACGGGAAGTTAATAATAGAGTTTGGGGGATCAGTATGAACAATTAATTGTATAATTAATTGGTATACATGTAGTTGATATTAAATAATTTTGAAATTTTGAGAAGAGTACATACATTTTTTTCAGTACCAATTGCCACTTTTCAAAAGGTAATTAACATTTGTAAACCCGACTTCTTTCAGTAATGTATAATATATAAACTATTTCTTGCCTCACACCTATAGATTACTCATAAATTAATATATTATTGATAAAATCGATTATTTACACAATTAAATAAGGTATTGTTTAAGCAACTCGTTTTATGGCAAACTGCCACCTATCCCTAGTTTAATTTGATGATGCATGGTAGACATATTGATGTACTATTTAATTTTATTCTCACTCATATCAAATTTTACTTTTGCTATTACGAAATATTCTTGAGAAGCTCTGTAAAAGTATATTATTTTGATGATTCAAATTTAAAGGTCTTATTTATAAAATCATCCATGTCGAAAATTTTTATATTGATAGTTGACATAGTTACGACATCTACTATCTTTAGCATTATAAAGAAGCACATCCTGAGGAGCCCTTTGAAAACAATAGAATTTAAGAAGTTTTTTTTTCATTGATATGTAAAAATTCTATGAAGAATTATTGAAATTAGTATTTATTGTAACAGTATACCTGTTTAAGTATGTAATACTAAAATTTCAGAGCTTTTTCTAGAGCTATCCTTGTGAATGTTATGTATAAAGAATTTTGTACTTTTCTACAAAAATCCTAAATATATCGAGATTTTCTGATTAGGTTCACAAATATAAATATTTCTTATTATAGTAGATACACGAAAGTACTCCATTTTGAAATTTAAGTAAAACACAATTATTTAAAAAAAAAACGTAAATTGTGAGTATTGTTCGTACGTTGTCTAGGAATTGTAAATATCTTAAAATTTTCAAAGGAAACTT